TAGCTTGCATTGACTCTACTCCTGTGTTGTGTTTGGCAACGCTATTTAAAGATTGAATTTTCTATAGCTACGGTCTTTGTTTTGTTACCACAAAACTGACATTTTTATTCACCTATCTACCATTTTTAGCTCGACTTTTTAAGCTCACCAGACCTGAAGGTTAAGGCTGAGCTATAAGTATCAAAGGGGAATGCTCCGTTGCCGTCGTCATGCGCCAACATACATCTCTGAAAAGTGCTGGGCAAATTTACTTCAAAGGTCTGTAGCATCCTTGTGACAGTCACAATTAAATTTGCTCATATTATTTCGATTGGCCACTTTGAGTGGTCAACAGAGCTAAAAGTAGAAAAACATATAAACATCTTCTTTTACTGATGATCACTAAACTTTGTCTGTAGCATTCAAGTTCTTGAGTAGTGACTAGTCTTTTATCAGATTTGCTCATATTAGTTTGATTGACCACTTTTAGGGGACGCTTAAGCTAAACATACAGAAACGTTTAAACATCTTCTACTAAGCTAATTGATGGATGATCACCAAACTTTGTCTGAGTCTTTTATCAAATTTGTTCATATTAAGTTGAATGGCCACTTTTAGGTTTTTAAGTCAAATCCTTCAAATACGTGTTAACATGAAACACAACTTCCACTTCATGTATTATTTTCAATACAAGCAGACATAAATATCTATAGAGGCTACCGTGGGCACCATGTTAGAATCGTTGACTCTAAAACATTTTCCTCTCATGGGTTGGGTTTCACATCACACCAACAAAGTAAAGGTTATGCAGCCATTTTCATCCTTTACTGGTGGAGGGAGAACTTAGGCGCCCCTTCTTGCACTATTTGCACCTTAGTACTCACCTTAACATATTTATTTTTTGCCTTATTTAATCATGACAGTATTGAAACCTAAAACTCTAAAAAAATAAATTGTCTGAAGTCTCCAGCCTTTACCAAGCAACCACAAAATTTGCTATTGGAATGGAAAAAAACACACAAAAACATATACAACCATTATTTTCTTTTCCATTAAAAAAACTTCCTTAAAATATATTGTTTACTTGCTTTCCTCATACTGTACGCAAATTCATTTTACAAGTAAAAAACCTTGGTAACACTAAGGGTTTTTGTTTTAGCCCAAATATCCTGGAAATTGGTCAGAAAGGTTGTTTTGTTAATTTCTAGGTCAAGATTAAATACGGGTCACTTGGGGTCAAAAATAAGGTCACACAGACTTAATGTGGAAAAACATTGTTAACCCTTTAGTGACTACTGTCAAAATATCCTGGAAATTGGTCAGAAAGATTGTTATGATGATTTCAAGGTCAAGTTTGAATATGGGTCGCCAGGGATCAAAAACTAGGTCACAAAGACCAATAATGAAAAACCTTGTTAATGCACTAGAGTCTACTTTTTCAGTCCAATTTTCCTGGAAATTGGTCAGACGGGTTGTTATAATGGCTTTAAGGTTCTGTTTGAATATGGTTTACCTGGGGTCAAAAACTAGGTCACATAGCCTAAATATGGAAAAAAAAACCTGATTAATACTCAAGGGGATACTGTTACAATCCAAATATCCTGGAATTTGGAATTTAGCCTTCATATTTAGGTGAGCGATAGAAGGGCCATCATTGCCTTCCTGTTTCTATTAGTGGCCATAACTTTGTTTTTTTTAATAGATTTTCTTCAAACTTGAACACATCAATATTTAAGGATAGACCTTCAAGTTATCCAGACAGATATTGACCTTTACTCATAAATGATCTAAACATAGAAGGTCAAATTATTGAAACTTCCATTTTTGGTGTAATTGGTTATAACTTTGTTATTAATGAATGGATTGACTTCATATTAAGACTATTCTTTAGGATAAGTCCTGCATTTGAGACATTGGCTTATTTATGACAATGACCTTGAGGGTTATATTATTGAATTTTCACAGATTTTTGGTATAATTGACTGAAACTTGTTTTTATGCCCCCACAATGTGGGAGCATATAGCGTTGCACTTGTCCGTCCGTACGTCTGTCCGTCCGTACGTACCGAAATCTTGTGAACGCAACTCCTCTTAAACCGGATGGCAGATTTTGCTTAAACTTACAGAGATGAACAACCTTAATGTGTAGATGGTAGGAAAGGAAGGAATTTTCGCCGCGACCAAATTTAACAGAATTATGGCCCTTTGTTGATTTTTTCACTATATACTATGTAGAAATTTTGTGAACGCAACTCCTCTTAAACCGGATGGCTGATTTTGCTTAAACTTACAGGGATTAACAACCTTAATGTGTAGGTGGTAGTTAAGGAAGGGATTTTTGCTGTGACCAAATTTAACAGAATTATGGCCCTTTGTTGATTTTTTCACTATATACTATGTGGAAATTTTGTGAACGCAACTCCTCTTAAACCAGATTGCAGATTTTACTTAAACTTCCAGGGATTAACAACCTTAATGTGTAGATGGTAGTAAAGGAAGGAATTTTTGCTGCAACCAAATTTAACAGAATTATGGCCCTTTGTTGATTTTTAGTTTTCAACTTGTGGCACATGTAGTCTAAAAAATGTTTGACCTAGAGTCATGAGATTGACAGAACAGTGGCGTGTGGGGGCATCCGTGTCATCCGTGTCCTATGGACACATTTCTAGTTTAATATATGGATTATCTTCGTACTTGGATAAAACAACAGTTTGGACAAGACCTTCTAAATGGTTGAACTGACCTTGAGGTTTACTTGACCATCAAAGGTCAAAATTAATTTTGGTTAAATAACCATAATTATGTTGTTTATTTACCGATTTCATTAATACTTAAACAAAACAAGATTTGCTTCCAAACAAATATATTGAATAATTTAGATGTGACCTTGACCTTTAATTGACATTGACCGTCAAGGTCAAATTAATGAAATTCTCTTTTTTGTTACTGGCTACAATTTTGTCATTTATAAATGGATTAACTTGATATTTAGACACATCATCTTTTAGGTCAGGACTTTCATGTATATCAAACTCATATTGACCTTGACTCAAGTACGACCTAGACTATCAAATTATTGAATTTTCATTGATTATTGCTATATAACTGGCTGTAACTTGGTAGGTAATCAGTGGATTATCTTCATATTCTGACAAACAACCTTTTTGACAAGACCTTCTAAAAGGTTGAACTGACCTTGGCATTTAAATGACCTGGACCGTTGACATCAAATTACTGAATTTGGGTAAAATAGAGAGAAATAAGAATCCCTAAAGAAAGCCCAACACGGCAAAATTGAAAATGTTGCAGGCTCAGTTTGATTGAGCCTGTTCATGGACGGTACTGTCAAGTGCAAACTACCGTCCACGCCCCCTATAGCACCGGCTTAAGCAGAATTTAACATTTAACATGAACTGTTAATATTTGGAATTTTGAAACATCCGCAGATGTGTTCATATGGCGGTTATCATGGAACCTTCAATGTGACACGTTAGTGCCATTCTATGAAAAGCGGCATATGGTCCCCAAGTAAAAAAAATGCATGTGCCCTAAACGAGAAAACAATGGGCGGAACTAAGTAAAATGGAATTTTGAAAGGGTTTCTGAGGTTATGAAGCCTGCATATCACAGATATGACGTCAAAAGACAAATTTAAAAAGCAGGCCACATATCCTAAGGGTGATTCAACAGTATTCAAGTTAGAAATACTGGAAACACCCAACAAGAAAGATGCCGAAAAGAAAGAACAATTATGTCCCCAAGTAAAAAAATGCATGTGCCCTAAACGAGAAAACATTGGGCGGAACTAAATAAAATGGAATTTTGAAAGGGGATCTGAAAGTTGACTAAAACTTGTTATTTATGTACGGAATTACTTCATATGTGGACAAAACAATTCTTATGTGACCAAACAGACTTCGACTTTGACCTTTAAATTATCTGACCGTCAAGGTAAGTAATTGAATGTTGCTTAATTATATTTTCTTAACTTTGTAATTTATTTATGGAAATGATTCATACTTGGACAAGAAACAAGTGTCACTAGACAGACCTATTTAAATAAAAAAGGAAAAACTTAATAGTTTTTCTTTATTTTTTTAAAAAAGATTTGTTTAACCGTTTATTTGTTTGCTTTTTTTAAATAAAAAATGTTGATCGTTGCTGTAATACGTGTGTGTGGGTTTGCGCGCGCGTGCGTGTGTGTGTGAATTAAAGGTACCTTATTGGGATTTAACCTTGGCATATATATAGTGCTTAAAGTTGGTCTATAGTGATAAGTCAATTGTGTATCGGCCACACTAATTATGGGTTATCAACATTCTGGAGGTCACAGTTTAATTGTATCTTCAACCATTAAGCTTAAAATGTTCACATTGTTTTCAAATTTTAAAACAGTTTTCTGTCTAGTTAATTTCTGTCATCTAAAATTAACTCTGATGATCTGTTGGTACGTGCCTTAAACAGCTGGAATTGTTTGCCTTTTTTGTTGGCCCCATAGTCAAAATGGCCAAGAATGATGTTAAATAAAATGTACAATCGCATCTAAATAAGTAAATATATCTGGAATGTACATGTTTATATTGAGTTGTAACAAAAGATAACAAAATTTAATGTTTATTTAAGATAATATACTCGAACAAAGAGATTAAATTGATGATCCAAAGGGGGCGGGAACATTCTTTATTTCACATTATCTGTGAACAGAGCAATTAAAATGACAGTCGTCGTGTTTTAGTGAAGGTCTAACATTTTAGCAAGCAGTTACGAGTACATGTGTAAAAAATTTACGTGTAAAAGAAGAAGCAAATATTGTTGATCGTGAAGGAAATAGATCAATTTAACTGTAAAGATGTCCTTTGTGTTTCCTTTCTTGGATATTGCATTGTCTTCTGCTAGATGATATATAGCTAAAAGATCCTTGATCTTTGCACGATTCTTACAAAAGCAAAACGGAACAGATGCTTATGTCGACAAGGATGTAAGAGATAGTCGTAATCGTGGAAAATATCTGTACAACAATTCGTAGATCTACTATGTTTTCATTTATTTATACGTGATATGGAATAGCTCTACACAAAACATTTAAATAGTTAACTTTCCATCTGACAGTACTACATATAGTTGGTGTTTTCTGTCGGAGAGAAATGAGGATGGAGGGCTTTTAAGAACAAATTCGAATCTACTTTCGGTTTTGATCAAGTGTGAAAATAAATATGTCAGCTGAAGGATTTACCTGTGAGCCATGTCTCCGAGAAGAACAAAATGTCCCAGCAGTAAGTTTCTGTTACGAGTGCTCCGAGAAAGTATGCGAAAGCTGTGTGAAAATACACAAGAAAATTACAAGCCTTTCCAGGCATAAACTGTATAAACTTGATGACAAAGGAATGGATGTTTCAAAATTCAATTTCTTAAAATCCTTAACCATGTGCTCTGAGCACAAGACGGAAGAAGTTCGATACATCTGCAAAGACCATGAGCAAGTTTGCTGCAATGAATGCACGATTGTTAGACACCGGAAGTGTGATAATATGATCTCTATCGCAGACGAAGTAACCAAGTTTGAACATTCTGATGAGGATGTGGCGTCGAGATTTAAAGATATTTTGCAGTGTTCCGAAAAGCTAACTGAACATGAAGCAAACCACCAAAATGTGATAAGAGCTTCAAAAAATGATTTGGAAGAAAAGCTAAGAGATCTTAAGAAGTCAATAGATGACAGCTTTGCCAAATTTGAAAAAGTAATGTTGAGAAATTATGACGAGAAAAGCTCTAGCATTATTAAGAGAAGTATTACCCAGACCGAGAAGATCAAGAAATTGACATCTGATGTAAACCAGTCCAATCAGTATCTAGAATTTACTGAAAGATGCGGTGAAAAACTGCATTCGTTTCTGTTGAGGAGAAAATTAGAGAAGGAACTGAAAGAGTATGAAGATGTTTTCCAAGATCTTAGAGGTGGAGCGAGCAAGAGCAGTTTAGTGTTAGAAACTGATATTTCAGAAGAAAAGTTGACGAAATCAATCGAGTCATGTATTCGACTTGTAGAGGTAAAAAACGAAACTGAAATACCCCAAATACATGGAATGCCGAAACTGAAGTTAACTGGAAAGATTGAATTGAAAAACGAAATTAACATAACAATTTCAAGTGGGTATGCCCGAACATGTGCTTGGATTGGGAATCATGTAATTGTCGGCCTGCAAGAGATGAATCAACTTAGGCTGTATGATGTAAAAAATGAAACACTGGAATACAAAACTTCGAGATCTACGTCTTCAGAACCATGGTCAGTTAAAAGAGTCGATGGGTTGAAGTTTGCTGTTTGTTACCCTAACAATAATACTATTGATATCATGGAAATTAAAAATGAAATGTTTCAACTCAACAGAACATTTAAAACTGAAAGAGATATCTGGGACGTGTCCTTCGACAAAAATCAATCTAAAATCATTGCTCTTTCACGGTCTGGTTTTATTGACATTTTAAATTTAGATGGTACAATGTCGAACACGGTTCCCCTGACAACCGAAACTAGTGCAGCTGCAAAGAATTCGCATGCTATTTGTTTTGATGCAAACAACAGTTTACTTCATTTATCATGTCATGGTCTTCATAAATTGTTGACTATGAAATTAGATGGTACGGTAGTTTTCGGGTTCAGACGTAAGGGTTTAATATTTCCGTGGCATCCAGACATTGACGTTAACGGAAATGTTTTTGTTCCATTTCTTAATGGAGGGATTTTTCAAATTGATAGGCAAGGAAAATTATTAAAAGAAATCAAGTGTAAAGATAATCCGTATTGCATAAGTTTTGATGGTAGCAGAACTAAATTTGTGGTTACCCACTGCTCTCCTCATAGCATTCAACTGTACACATTAAAATAAGCCTTCAGGGAATTATTATTAAGTGAAACATATTAAATTATTACAGTGTTTAATTTTGATAGGATGAACATACCTTCAGTGAGTCATATACATGTAATAAAGAGACAAATTTTGTTAATACATATGTAATCACAGCTATGTTTGAAATAGAAAAAAAAGTGATTGCATATACAGTGTATATAAGAACAACATACTTAAACCTAATATTGATGAATGTATTTTACTATCTTGTATGATAAATAAATCTTAATTATGTTCTGTTCTGTTCTAATGTATACATGCATACATATGCACTTGAGGCAGAGATATTTGTACAGATAATACATGCAAATACAAAAAACATACAATGTATTTGAACAAGTGAAACTAAAAAAAAACATTTCCTAATTACGATTGCGTTTTAAAAGTAGTACCAATGGAGCCATTGTTTTCAAAGTAGTAACAATGGATATGAAGTAATTCTGGTTGAAGTGGAAGCATTAGTTGTGATAGTAGTAGTGGTTGTGGTAGTTGTAGTAGTAGCAACAGTGCTGCTAGGTCTTGTAGTAACAAACAAAATCGTTGGATTTATATCCCTCGCCGAGTACAAGTACACCTGTTTCCCATACCATATTCTGTGTAAAGTTAAGGTCAGGTAAATTTTTTTTGGACAAAACCTTCAGGACTGAAGTCATTTCTCAACATATGTTACTGGTAATAAAGACATACTAAAAAAAACCTCAAAAAAATCTCAAAATCTTATTTCTTAATGAGTTACAAGTAATTTTGACATACTCAAAATGACATTTCTTAATGTGTTACTGGTAATTTAGACATACTCAAAAAATCTCAAAATGTCATTTCTTAATGTGTTAATGGTAATTTAGACATACTCAAAATGTCGTTTCTTAATGTGTTACTAGTAATTTAGACATACCCAAAAAAATCTCAAAATGCCAATTCCTAATGTTTTACTGGTAATTTTAACATTCTTAAAAATCCCATAAAAGTCATTTCTTAATGTGTTACAGGTACTTGTACTTTGTGTTACTTAAAAAAAATTCATTTTTTCACAAAGTACAGGTAACCTAGACATTCTTTATAAAACCTATCAAAAGTTATTTGTAAAATGCATATACATGTACATATATACATTTTGTTCTCATTTTATTCAAAATTGCATCATGGTTTACTTATGTGCATTATTTTAAACAAACAAAACTTACATAATTTTAAAAATGTTTTGCAGATGTTGGGTCAGTCAAATTTTTTTAGTTTGACCAATTACAGATTTATTTAGTTTTCAGTACTATTGTATATATCTGAATTTTATTATGCACTGAGATCTCTTTTTTCAGGATCTAACATGCGGCATTGTGTACATAAATAGTATCTTTTGTCTTTTTCTTTCCATTTTCGTGTACTAGTTTAAAATGTGTTTGTCATGACTTTGTGAAGCGTATATATGTCACCGATACCTGTTCTTTCATGTGTATTAAAGACTTCTGTGAATAAAATTATTGAATCATGAAGTTTGTTGGCTATTCGTTGACCTCGGCTCGAGTTGTGGTGTTTTAGTCAAGATAAACCATGATTTAGGGGTGACACTTTAATCGCTGAAATTATGATTAATTGGCGACGCCGGTGAGCGGCGTCGTCTCTTATGGAATGCTTTTTATTTTGGCCTATGGAAGGAGCTGTTATTATAAGCAGTTAATGTCATGTTGGTTTAATTAGTTTTATTTTGATTCGTAAAAAAATCAAGTAAACAAATATGTTGTTACATTTGTATAGTTTGAAAAGGACAGTTTCTATCTTATCTATTTGTAATGGAGGGACACCGGTCTCAACCTCCAGATCTCCAGAGTCAACCCGACAACAGACTTTTCATAGAGTAGATTGTAACTTGCACTAAATTTTATAGTAGGTGATTTGTGCCATATGAAAACCAACAAATTACAAAAAGTAACCGGGCGCCAGATGAAAACATGAAAATACAATCTACCAAAAAGTGGTTCGTTTGTTGCATTTTCATGTTCTCGCCCGGTGCCCCTGATGCAAAATACAAATCAGCCTTCATAAAAATTCTTATCATAGAAAAAAGGTTAGTTTTTTTATCTGTACAAAAAATAGATATTGTACATGTATTAGTACAGTTATGTTCACTTTCAAATTGACCTGTTATAAATAATGGCACAACCAATAACTGTCTAAGCCCTTTTTAGTAAAAATAATTATACAATATATAAATTGTTATTTTGATTAAGACTATGAGTATGAAAGGTTTTTGTTTCTTACTTGTTTAATTAAGAATTAATCTACCTGTTAAAAGTATCTGTCACGGTTTAGAACTGTTCACTATTTAGGGGAGAAAATGTGTAAGCGGCCAGATAGCTCAATCGCTACAGCCGTGGTACATTATTCTATGGGTCACAGGTTCGAGTTCTAGTCAAGCTGAAAGTTTTTCATAAAACCCTGAGTTTATTTCATTATGCTCTGTAAACATCAGAAATTCAAGGACACAAATCAATATAGTGGGGAAATATGTTGTGGTTTAGAACTGTTTCATTATTAAAGAGAAAATGTGTAGCCGGCCAGATAGCTCAGTTGGTCTTCTAACAGTCATGGGTTCGAGTCATGGTCAGGCAGTTTCAGTCAGGGCTTAGAAGTGGTTTTTCAACTGACACATGTTTGATTCATTTAACAGATTGTATTAAATTTGAAATGGGCAAAGGCAGCATTGCATGATACTTACAGATCTACAAAAGGCATTTGATACAGTTGATCACACTATACTGCACATGAAGAAGTTCTTCTTCTTCATGAAACTTCAAGCATCTGCCATAGATAATGACTTTCTTACATGATTCAAGTCTTATCTCTGATAGACAGCAGCTGGTGGATGTGGCTGGTACTCATTCTACTACTGCTCCGAGTACCTATGGTGTCCCCCTGAGGTTCATTTTAGGTCCTCTTTAATGTCTAATATATGTCAATGACATGTCTGCAACCCTAAGCAATAAGCTTTTATTATATGCTGATGACTCAGGTATCCTTGTATCTGGTAAAATAAATCTGAAGAAATTCTCTTTTATGGCATGAGTCTTATAAGATTGGTTAATTGACTATAAATTGTCTTTGCATCTTGAAAAGACAGAGTCTATTCATTTTGGTTTAAGTTTCAACTTAAACTGGGCCTTGCCTCCAGGTCACATGTAATGGTACTGCTATAAAGTACACATCTTTTGTTAAGTATTTATGTGCAAAACTTGATCAATTTCTTTTGGCGTTGCCTTTGATGCTTTGCATCAATGCTTTTCTTGTATCTTTTTGTCATTGAACAATAATGTATTGATAGTTTAGTCTATTATTTGATATGAAGGTAGCTTGCATTGACTCCCATGTTGTGTTTTGCAATGCTATATCAATGATGGAATATTCTAATACGGGCATTGTTTTGTTACCACAACACTGGCATTTTTATTCATCTAGCTACCATTTTTAGCTTGACTTTTTAAGCTCACCAGAACTGAAGGTTAAGGCTGAGCTATAAGTATCAAAGAGGGATGCTCCGTTGCCGTCATCATGCGCCAACATTCATCTCTGAAAGTGCTGGGAAAATTTACTTCAAAGGTCTGTAGCATCCTTGTGACAGTCACACTTAAATTTGCTCGTATTATTTTGATTGGCCCCTTTTAGTGGTTAACAGAGCTAAACGTAGAAAAACGTTTAAACATCTTATACTGATGATCAAACTTTGTAACAATTTCTTAGGTAGTCTTTTATCAAATTTGCTCATATTAATTTGATTGACCAGTATTATGGGATGCTTAAGCTAAAAATAGAGAAACGTTTAAACATCTACTGAGCTAATTGATGGATGATCTCCAAACTTTATAGCTTTTTAAAACAGTTTTTTTTTCATGAAATTTGCTCATATTGATTTGAATGGCCCCTTTTAGAGGGCTCTAGAGCTAAAAATAAATACATTTTTTAAACATCTACTGAACTAATTGATGGATGATCACCAAACTTTGTAGCTTTTTTAAGGAGTCTTTTATCAAATTTGCTTATATTAATTTGAATGGCCACTTTTAGGTTTTTAAGTCACATCCTTCAAATACTTGTTAACATGAACCACAACTGCCACTTCATGTATTATTTTTAATACAAGCAGACATTATCACGGGGGGGGGGGGGAATCACGTGACTTTGTATAGTAATACCCACGAGAAAATGGCGACTGCTGAGCCCCGGTAAGTACCTTATTATGTTAAATTAAGGTGACAAACGTTTCTTAAATCAAAACAAAACCTAGCGTATCATATGCGCGTTAATTTTCTTCAAATGACAATACAAAGTGCATTATCCTACGTTTTGTGGTTTTTGAGAACATTGTTTGAATTGTGTGAAAATTGCACATTCAGCGATAGTAATTCGCACGAAGCGATATAATTTGGTACAAAAATAAATGAAAATAAACTTACTTTCTGCACTTAAGACACAAAATCAATCATTTTATTGACATCTGTTATCGTAGAAGTTCATATTAAATATATTTTCGAAGGTCTGTAGCCTACAAAATGTTCTTTGCAAATGTAATAATAAGTAAAACGAACAATTTCTGGATAGTAAGTTACACGAAAACAAAATAGTAAGTTTCACGCACAGATTCCATTAGCATACATATACATTAAAAGAAAGTTAAAGTTCATATGTTTAAGAGATAGAAAATACTTATTTCAATTATGCAAGATCAAATATTTCACATTTTTGTCTATAGGACGAATGCTTAATTGGTTGCTATTATAATATATCAAAATGAGCTTTTTGATGGGATTTGATATTACACGGCTCAGTGTTATTTTTCTATGGCATAGTAATTCTTTGACCTCTGCAGTTTCAGGTGTGTCTTGGCCCTCATTTTACTGTAATGAACAAATATAATTGCTTGTTAATTGGTATGGTGATGTTTATTAACTGAATGCTGATAGATGTTTTTATATGGCGGTATTTGTTACATTTAGTCACTATGTTACTTAATTTATGAAAATATATTGAAGAATTCGCAAGAACAAAATAACTTCTTACAAAAAATCAAAAAACAACAACAACAACAACAAACAGCAATGATACAGTGATACAAGTTATGATTATGGGCACATTGTTCCTCAGAAATCCATATTGTTTAAATTCTTTAGAAATGTCAAACATGTGTTTGATAATGTTTAAATAATGGATAAAACGTATGATAGTATTTTATTACAACTGAAAAAGGTAGCACTGAACATTATATTAAGTGATGTGTCGCTAAGGTAGCAAAATGTAAACAAAGTAGTATTTTGACTTCCATACGAAATACTTATTCACTAAAGGTATACCATTTTCCAACAGAACCAAAGATGTAAAAGATAGTTTGAGTATCTAGCAAATGAGTATGTTTTCGGAAACTGTAACAAGATACCAAAAATAAACAGTTTTTTTTAATAAAAATGATAGCATTTAAGAGGCATAATGGACATTCAAAGAAAAACGAATATTTGAAATCAAACGGTCAAAGATATGAAGGCAAGTGGAGTAAAAAAAATATTTACATAAAACAATCTTAGATGCTGGGTTTCAAATCACACCGTCAATGTCGGGACACCTGAGTTAAAGCACCGACGTTTTGTTAGCTAGTTTGATGAAAGAATTCAAGGACTCTGGTCGGACTAGAATCCATAGCGGTGAGAAGCATGTGTATAAAAATCAGGGACTTAAAACACTCGGCCAAGGACGCACTGAATATCTTATTTACTTACTCTATCACAAACAAAAGTAAGAGTTTACGGACGCAACCACATTTGCACATGGTAAGAAAATAAACGTATAGTAATACATAACATTTTAACAAAACTTCTTGGTTTATTTATAAAAATCTGCCAGTGTAAGAATAAAATTGATCAAAAAAACTTTGTATATACCAGTTCTATGATGGCATTAAATATCAATGTGAAATGGCGAATGTCTTCTCATTTTGCGTTTTTGGACCAAATTGCAGATACTGAAA